CCATGGTATTGGTGACTTTCTCGATTGTGACCAGCGTCTGTGTGCTGAATGTCCACCACAGGTCTCCCAGCACTCATGCAATGCCTCCGTGGGTCAAGGTGGTCTTCCTCCAGAAGCTGCCAAGCTTCCTCTTCATGAGGAGACCACACAACCAGTCGGCGAGCCAACGGTTGGCCAACCGCAAGAAGAACAAAGCGGAGTCTTCACCTTCAGATTTGTCCAGCGCATACAAGGATTGTACTTACTTTGTGAACACAGCAGCGGGCCAAAGATACAATGTGAAACTGACAGACAACCCTGATCACATCAGCAGCCATCAAGACCTGAGGTTACGATCCTCCGTGAAGTTTTCCCCCGAGGTCCAAGAAGCAATTGAGGGAGTCAGCTTCATAGCGGACCACATGAGGAGCGAGGACAACAATGAGAGTGTAAGTGACACAAAGCATTCCTCCCCCTCCGAAAGTCCTAGAATTTCCTTCCTCCCTGGAGCTTGAGACGTTTGTTCTCTGGCGCAGAAGGAAAATACGGACACGCTCGCTCATCTTGAGGGATGAGTATTGGGTTGCTTGTTGGACGGATCGGCTACCATGGAGATGATTGCAAGGGGCATCTCTGACACAACGTTGTAGTAAATCAATTCTTGGCTCTTCTGAATCCTTGTCAAACATGCCCCCTTGGGAGAAAGAGGTGGCTTACTCTTGGAACATAGAATAACAGGGTTGGAAGGGATCTCAGAGGTCTTCTAGCTCAACCCTCTGCTCAAGCAGAGACCCTGTATCATTCTGGACAAATGGCTGACCAGTCTCTCCTTAAAAGCCTCTGGTGATGGAGCAACCTACATTTTCTGGAGGCAACTGATTAATTGTCCTGTCAGGAAATTTCTCCTTAGTTTTTAGTTATGCCTAATTAACACTCATTTGGGGGGGGGAAACCGCAACTAACCCAGCTTGCTTGAGAATAAAAGGGTTGAAAACCCCAGCTTCCCACTCTCCAGTAAGGAACAGCTGCATTATTATCTTGTCAACTTTATTTTTTTAAAAGGTAGCTTCTCACTGTAAAGTGTTGACAAACGTTTCTGCAGGAAGAAAATGCCAAGAATTCAGGGTTGTTGTTGTTTTTTACTGAACCACAAAATTCCACAATTACCAAGCTCAGTCCCGGTTTGTGTGTGTGCGTTTGTGTGTATTGAGGGGTTGTGGGAGTTACGGTGGGTTTTTTTTCCTTTTTTCTATCCCCCCCCCATGTGTGTATTTGAAATATTTGTTTCTACCCATTTTTTTAGCCTTCACTTTCCCAGTTCATTAGTGTGTGTGTTTTTTTCTTGAATTGCAAACAGGAAGTCACCGAAAACTATTGAAAAAAAAACAAGCTGGGTTAGGGAGGGAGAGATGATGTCGCAATGGACGGTTTATTAAAGATATTTTATTGGTTTGTTTTTTTTCCAGGTCATTGAAGACTGGAAATACGTGGCCATGGTGGTGGACAGGCTGTTCCTCTGGATATTTGTCATTGTGTGTGTGCTGGGGACCACTGGATTATTCATGCAGCCCCTTTTTCAAAACCACCTGCCTGCCATGAGCCATAACCTGAGCGGAATCTAACTCCAAAGACTGCTTGTTCACAGGATGGGAAGTTCCGAGTTCCACAATTTCAATTTCAAGATTCTTTATTCAGATCTTGGGGTGTTTTTTTGTTTTTTTTTACTGCTCCTTCCCAGTTAAAAATGAATAATCCGTGCAACATCATTACTGAGAAGATCTTCTACACAAGAAAAGATTGAAAGGACTTCTATTATTCCCTTTTAGCTGGAACTTTTAAATTAACTGTTTTGGTTTAGCTTTTCCAAACGGCGACGAGGGTGGGGGGGAGAGAAATTGTACCACTGTTAATTTTTTATTTATTAAAGCACTCTTCCTCAGCTGGTTCTGCAGGGTTCTTTTAGGGAGTTGTGATGGGCTGACCAAAACATAGGTTGTGCAAGGGATACACCACCCTGGTTTTCATTTAGTTTTGTGGACAAATTTAAGGGGAAAAGCAAGGAAAAGAATTATTTTCAGACAAGATGGTTTTCCTTACTAAGTACCATATGATCCTGACCATCTGAGCCAGACATCTGAAGAGGGTCAGCTCCCCAACCTCCATTCCTTCCAGAATCCCCTGAAAAACATGAAGCAAAAATCATTCTCTTGCAGAACCAAGAACCTTGGACATCAGAGACCTGAAGTGATCTGCCTAAAATATCTTTTTTTCCCTCTTTCACTGTTGCTCCCCACAAAAGTTTGCAGACAACCCAACCGATGTTTGGGCAATTCCACTCTTTTCTCTGGTTTTGAAAGGGATCCTTTTCTGAATATGGTTTTAAGTTCTTCCTGAAAAATTGAGAAGCAATTGGGAATCCATCTGTCGAGATGTCAGGTGGTTATAAGGCTGTATCTTTAGATTAAGAAGATATAAAAAATCCTTATGAGGTATTCCCTAAAAAGAGATGATTGACAGCCTGGACTTTGTTGTCTGCAGGAATCCCAAAGCTGAAGGTCGGAAAGATTAAACTCACAGTAGCTCATCCTAGTGACAGTAAATCATGATTCAGCATTTATGGGAGAGGGCTGCAGACGTGTTCACACACTGTTATTCTATGCATGTTCAGAGTAATGGCTAAAGCATTCATGCAGGGAAAGGGAGCCCCGGGGGAAAAAAATAACATGACTGTGGAGGATGGATCTAGTAGTACTGAAATGTATGAAACTACATTAACAGGTTTTGTTGGGGTCAGCTGCAGCCATGGAAGGAGGTGACATGTAAAGGCATGGCATTAAATGCCCAAGGGTTGTGTATTAAAAGAGTATTTTTATTTAAGTACTTTGTGTGGGAGAGGTTTTGTTATGGTCATGTCGCTTCCTGTCGTTCCATTTTTTTCCCCTTTTCATTTTAAAAACTGGTACGTGCCTTATGCTACAGATACATACTTTCTCCTTCCCCAAGGTTTAAGTAGTAACATATATTCAAGATTGGGGAGTGTTGCGGTGGCCTAGAGGTGGAGTTCTCGCCTCAAAATCAGGAGGCTGTGAGTTTGATCCTGGGTAGAGGCAGATATTTCTCTCTCTGGGCACAATGAGAATCTATCCACTGAACAAAACTCCACATTGGCGACAAGAAGGGCATCCGGCCAGTAGGGGTGAAATCCGACAGGTTCTAGAGAACTGATAACGGAAATTTTGAGCAGTTTGAAGAACTGGTAGCGAAAATTTTGAGTACCACCTCTGGCTGGCCCCAGAGTGGGGTGGGAATGGAGATTTTGCAATATCCTTCCCCTGGAGTGGGGTAGGGATGGAGATTTTGTAATATCCTTCCCCTGCCATGCCCACCAAGCCACACCATGCCCACCAAGCCATGCCCAGAGAACCGGTAGTAAAAAAATTTGGATTTCACCACTGCAGTAAACACTCAGCTCCATTCAGATACACACACACACACACACACACACACACACACACACACACACACACACACTCACTCATTCATTCATTCTCAAGATTGGGCAAAATGGAATCCTAGCCTACTCTGATCAATGAGGCTGTAGGCTACTAAGTGTAAAAGCGATTAAAGGATGCAATTTTAGTTGCTCCAGAATAAGGAAGGCCTGGAAATCAGTACTACCTCAACAGCATTTCTAATATTTACTTCATTGGTTGATATATCACCGTCACAAAGATACACTATATGCGCTCAGTGAGTAGTCAAGAAGTCCTTGACTTAAGACCACTCCTTTAGTGCCTGTTCAACGTTAGAACAGCACTGGGAAAAACAATGACATGACTGATCCTTAGATTTTACCTTCCTGGCTGACACGGTTGGACAAAAATACTCATTTGCTAAAAAAGATGAGGTTAGAAGCAAAGCAGCATTCCGCAAATCCCAACTCTCCTTCTCCAAAATCAACACAACTCTTTTCGGTTCATCCCGCAAAGCACAAAGGAGCATAGCAGTTCTCCTATATGTAGACCTACAGTCCGTCAGCCTGGTCCTTAATTGCTGAATTTGTGTCTAAACGTCAGAAACACAGAGAGATCGATCGGCCTTTTAAGAGAGGTAACTAAGAATGCTGGAGATGGTCATTCAAAAAAGAGGGTCACATTTTTTTTTAAAGGCCAAAAGACCACACTACAATTTTGCTGACATAGAAGGACCCACACTTCAAAAAAAAATAAATACATAAAATGAGAGAAGGAACGACAAAGGCAACACACAAATTTCTTTCACTGACATGTAAAGGTAAACTAAATCCATGTTTCTTATTCTATGTATCTGATCAATTCATCGCACGGGACAATTAAAGGGCACACCTATTAGCGGGGTCAAAATCACAAAACTGCATTTCATTTATTTTGGGGATGTGGAGGGGGAAAAATTCACTGGAGAAAGCAATTCTGTTTGGAAGAATAAGCGGTAAAAGGAAACCAGGATGCCAAAGAACACGGTGGCCCTGGACACCAGGCAGGGCATAGACAGATGTGGAGAGACCTGACCCATAGAATCGCCTATTCCCGAACATTCTGGGATGGGGGTGGGGTGGGGAACTGCAATTAACAGAATAACAGAGTTGGAAGGGACCTTGGAGGTCTTCTAGTCCAACCCCTTGCTCAGGCAGGAAACCCCGTACCGTTTCAGACAAATGGCTGTCCAATCTCACCAAGAGAAAACTGAGGATCGACTTCTCTGTTTTCCCACACAACTCCCCAGCCATTAATAATTGCCACAAAGCAACTTATGGGAACTGCTCCTAAGGGGGCTGTTTGGCTCCTGGACTTGACAGGCTGGTCCAAGTGCCAAGTCCCAGGCGTAACTCATCATCATCATCCAGGGTCCAAGAGCTAATTCATTAACAGGCTTTGCCAGCCACGTCTGCTCCAAAAATCTTATTTGAAGACAAGCCAGCTCGGCAACCACAATTCCATTATGCTGTTTTCATTTCATCAGATCTATTTTTTGGGGAGGGGAGGGGAGAGGAGGAGGATGGAGTGGAGAAGAGAGAAAACTTTGGCATGGAATTCCGAGGATGGGTTTTAATCCTGCCCTGCATGGCTGTCTAAGCAACCCAGCTTCTGCCTTACAGGTATAAGCCTCTCCTTTTCTGCCCATGCAGCCGTGTGGATAACCAGCGCCCGTCCCTCGCTGGGGGCTGCGAGCAGAGGGGCAGGGCTGTCGTTAGAGAGAAACAGAGAAGAAGAAGGAGCTGGCAACCCCTGGCTCCCCAGTGCTGATGCTTGCCCGTTTCTAATGAGTGCCTCCCTCCAAGTTCAGACTTCCTTCCTTCTTTAAATTCGCAGCGGCGGGTAAAATGCCACCCACTGACTCTGTTTCCAGAAGGGTTTACGGCTGAGTGGCAAATTCAGAACGCCATGGCGAGGCGGGCTGGCCTGCTGATGGCACTGCTTTCCTTCGTCTTGAAAGGTGAGTGTGATTTCTGGCTTTGCCTTCTTTGCGTGGTTTGGGTTGAGGGCGAGCAGGGAATGGGGAGACCTTCAGAAGAGCCTAGAGGTACCTTTTAAATAATCACAGGTTTTGCACTGGTGTAGTATGTGGTGTTTCTCCCTTCCCTTTCGTCTATTGTCTTGAAAAGCAGAGGTTACAATTCTTGCAAATGTTTAGGGACGTTGCTTTGGATGTTGAAATGGGATAGTGCAGAGCAGTTGTTTCGGCAAAGCTTTAAATTTCAGCAACAATGTGTTGGTTAGGAAGTCCAATCAGATAAAGTAATTGCTGCAAAGAGTGAGTGTTCAAATAAACTCAACAGGTAAACTGGCTGGGTAAAGAAATTCTGCCTTTTTATAACACTGTAATTGGGTAATTTGCCTTATTTGTGTTTTTTAAAAAATCATATCTGAATTTCTCTACCCACTGGATGGAGCAGAGCGTTTACATCTGGCCGGTAAACGCTCAGCTCCGTCCAGTGGGTAGAGAAATAGAGAGAGGATAAAACCAGGCAAATGTGAAAAAGCATTTTATGTCAAAGGCAATATTTAATATTCACAAGAGTCCCTGGAAGCTATTAGTAATCTTTAAGTTAAAATTCTATGCATCCGAAAGTGACCCAGAATTTAATAGCTTTCTAGCAAAGAGAACATTGCAACTTTCTTTTTTCCAAGTAAGATAGAAAAATGTAAAAGTTCATGGAATTCAAATGTCTGAAAGAGGATGGCTCAGTTATGTGTCGCATATAACATCGAAGATAAGTTAAATACATTATTTTTAAAGCAGTTTTCAATAATGGTTATTCTCCCCCCCCCCCTTTCATCCTAGCCACTATTGGGCGTTCAGTTTTATCCAAATGAATATAAGTGGCTATTTTTATATTTATGGTTTAAGCGTTAGTTATTGAGAAAGAGCTGCTTCAAGTTAGGAAAAACACAGCTTTCTGAATTAAAAAACTGAGCTCTTTAAAGTCACTGAAAAATGCCATTCACCTGAAACCATTCTTCGCTAGTCAGGCTTGGCTAAGAAAACTCAACACTGCTACACACAGAATGCATGGAAATATCTAATAAAACTCTTGCTGCTTAAATTATTGTGGACCAGACAGAACGTGCTATTAGAAACCCAATAAGCATAGCCAAACATAGACTCAAATTCAAGAAATCAAATCTATTATGGTCCTATAAGAAGGGTGAAATAAAAATAGTAATTTTAAAGGCTAAAACAATATAATATTTTAGGATAATATTGTTCCTAAGATTACTGCTTCCATTTGAATCTTGAGATTTGAGAATCCTCTTTCCCTGGCCAAACTGGGATGCAAATATGTCAAACTGCCTGATGAAAGGACTTTATAACAGCTGAAGTTTATTTTAACTCTCGGAAACAACCAAATGCTTCTAAGATTGTGCTGTGCCCTGCTGATTTGACGAAAAATGACAAAACCTCAGCAAAAGCCAAGTTTCAGGAATGTCAGCAGCCAAATCTTCAGTCATAACTTCCAAGTCATAACTTTACAAGTCTTCAGTTATAATTAGTCTCTCCTTGAAATTAACCAAGGAGAGAAGCAACCTAGAATTAAAGAGAAACTTCCTAACAGTGGGAACAATTAACCAGTGGAACAGCTTGCCTCCAGAAGTTGTGGGTCACTGTAGGTTTTTAAGAAAAGACAGTCACTTGTCTGGAATGGAACAGGGTGATTGAGCAGGGGGTTGGACTAGAAGACCTCCAAGGTCCCTTCCAGCTCAATTCTGAATCTGAATAACGTATTTGCTCATGCAAACGTCCTCAGAGGAACAGGGGAAGTTGCTTTAGATGGAAATAAATTTCCCATCAGTCCACCAACTCAAATTCTTCAGAATTTTGGACTTGTCTGGGCCAGTTTTCTCTATAATCTTTTGAAGCACAGAGGAGCCGAAGTCCTGTATAAGAGCTTTTCAGTTCCTACTGGTACTTCTACTACTACTACTAATAATAATAGTTATAGTTTAGTTATAGTTTATTTGATTTGTATACCGCCCTACTCCCGAAGGACTCAGGGTGGTGAACAGCCAACAATAAAATACATAAATACACAAAATTTAAAAACCCGATAAAATCAAATTAAATTATTTGGCCCAGACAAATTAAAATACCCCAATAATTTAAAAACAGATTAAAATTTACGTATTTAAAAAGGGAAGAGATCAAGCCAAGCCCGCTTGATGGAATAAAAAGGTCTTCACAGCACGGCGGAAGGAGCGCATAGTCTTTATTGTCATTGTACATCACGTATACAATAAAATTGGTTTATCCTCTACTGGTGCAATCCATAACAGAAAATACAAGATAACTTTCCAAAAGCAGCTTCCATCTCTTCCCTTCCAAAATGGCACCTTACTCAACATACACGGCTTATTTCTTGCTTTTTTGTTTTTTTCTTCTTTCTGCCCTAGATTTCTCTCTTCTTCCCCCCAGTGAATTTCTTCCAGTTATAACCATCCCAAATCCTCAGCTTGCAAGAGGATTTTGATTCAGACTTCCCTTTGGGTGTGGTATAGGGAGAACTACTAAATATTTCAATATGTATTAATGCATATTTTAGCATCTCTCTCTCTCTCTCTCTCTCTCTCTCTCTCTCTCTCTCTCTCTCTATATATATATATATATATATATATATATATATATATATATATATATTCTTTCATCTTTATCATCTCTCTATATCTCTCTATATCTTTATTATCTTTATCTATTTATCATTTCTATCTATACCATCTTTCTATCTATCGGCAGTTCTGATGAAGTCTTTGAATCATTTCATGGATTATTATCTGCTTGAGAAAATGTACATAAAGCAAAGATGCTTAATCTATTGGCAAGCTACTGTTTCATCTCTGGTTATGCTCCCACATATGATAAGCTAGCGAGGGCCTTCTATTGGGGCAAGGATGCATAATGCAAAATGTTTTATTATTATGATTTTTTTTTTGGAAAGGAAGTGAGCCCCATTCATGCAAGAAAAAAAATCTAATACTAGATATAAATGGATCAAATATAGAGTTGTACGGTTCCAAATTGAAGCCATTTACTTAACACAAAATAAATCCCTTTTGCCAAATTAGCCCGTTTTTTTGGCCAAGGTTTGTTTGTTTGTTTAATTAGATTGCTTTTTTCCCAAGGTTTTAATTTACCAGGGAGAGCAAAAAGAAAACACACAAACAAACGCAACACTTCTCAGCCCACACAACAGCAGGTCCACATTAATTCCATCTCTCCAACACACATTGCAAATTGTGCTTTCCGTGCCTGCCACATCGACATTAAGGAAATTAAATTGGAGCGCTCCCTCCTTCTGGATAATTGGAGGAAGCCAGCTGCGTTAGTCTACAATAGCCAAAAATCAGGAGAGGATCGATAGCACTTTTTCAGGCACACACAGTTTATGAAAAAGCAGCAGCTTTTTCTGCTGTAGAAAATCTTGTTCTTGTTGATCTTGTTTCTACAGCAGCTATAGAAACAAGATCAAAGCCTACAGAATTGTTTTTTAGATAGCAACAAAGATTAAGCAGATTAACAGAGTTGGAAGGGACCTTGTAGGTCATCTAGTCCAACCCCTCACCCAAGCAGGAGACCTACATCATTTCTGACAGATGGCAGTCCAGTTTCTTCTTGAAAGCTCCCAGTGGTGAAGCTCCCACAACTTCTGAAGGCAACTTCTGTTCCATCGGTTGATTGTTCTCACAGTCAGAAAATTTCTCCTTATTTCCAGGTTGAATCTCTCCTTGATCAGTTTCCATCCATTGTTCCTTGTCTGGCCTTCGGGAGCTTTGAGAGAATAGCTTGACCCCCTTCCTCCTCTCTATGGCAGCCCCTCAAATATTGGAAGATGCTCTCCTATCTCCCCTGGTCCTTCTCTTCACTAGACTAGCCATGCCCAGTTCCTGCAACCGTTCATTGTATGTTTTAGCCTCCAGTCCAGTCCCCTAATCTTCGTTGTTCTTCTCTGCACTTTTTCAAGAGTCTCAACCTTTTTGTTATAGTGTGGTGACCAAAACTGGGTGCAGTATTCTAGGTGTGGTTTTAATAAGGCTTTAGGAACAGAATCCACTAGTTGACCTAGGGGTCAGTGCAGGGTCTTAGCAGGCTTAATACTCAAGATCAGTACAAGGGAAAATTTGTGGTATATTTTTCAGGCATGTTTTGTTCTGATGACGAGCACCGGCTTCATAAGGAATTGTTTGCCAATTATAACAAAATCATCCGGCCTGTTGAAAATGTATCCGACCCTGTCATGGTTTGGTTCGAAGTGTCTTTATCTCAGCTGGTCAAAGTGGTGAGTAAACTGGAGACCCTTCTCTTTTATTTATCTCAAAACTTTAATCTGGTTAAGCACCCTGAGTACTTTTTCTTCCCCTTTTTTTACCCAGTTTAATCGATAACAGTGCAATTTCCTTAGAGCGTCTCATTCAAGTACTAACGGTTGGCTGTTCTAGATCAGATGCTCAACCGAGCTTTCTATAATTCAGGTTTTAAATATGGTACATGCTTTTTTTTTTTTCCCCTCCCCTCCCCGCTCAGGATGAAGTGAACCAGATTATGGAGACTAATTTATGGCTGAAGCATGTAAGTAAATAATAAGAAAACAAGATTTTGTTTATAAAGAATACGAGGGAGAAGAAAAAAGTGAAAGACATTTCAACTTTTCAGGAGTTAGGATTCTTAACATTTTTTTTTTCCAACACACAATCACTTATTTGGACACGCATATCCAAATAGTCTTTAAAACAAATAAATAAGAGTTACACCTGAGATTGATGGTTTGGGAATGAAAATTCACCACTTTAGAAAATACACTTTTAATACACTGCTGACATCTAGTGGTCAAGAATTATTATTATTTTTCTGTATTTAACAAATACCAGGTAGTCCTCTACTTAGAATTTACAATAGAGTGGGCAGGAAATTTGTCATTTAGCAGTCATAAGTCATTAAGTGAGGCATGTCACACACCTGATTTCATGACCTGGCTCATTGGGGGAATTCTGGGAGATGAAATCTTAAATTTGCCAAGTTTACACACCCCTGGAAACTTTAAGACTTGTGGACTTTAATTCCCAGAATTCCCCAGCTGGCTGTAAGCTACAGAATTCCCCAGCTGTCTGGAGAATTCTGGGATTTGAAGTCCACAAGCCTTAAAGTTGCCAAGTTTGGACATCTCTGCTCTAAAGTCAGGGTCTACTTTGTCTTTGGTAAGGCAAGAGGCTGCTTGCATTACATTTTTGGAGAGAAAAATCACAACGCACTCACCTTTGCTTGGAAGGTTTGAGTCGGTCTTGGTTTTTCAGCAGGCAGTAGAAAAGGGGATTTGAAGAAGTGCTGTTTGGGGTTCAAGAGACAGCTCCTCTCTCTATCAGACATGCTTCTTCTGGCCTCTTAGAAAGTCTACAAGGTGGAGAGAGAGAGAGAGAGACAGGTATTCACAATTGGATCCACTTGGTCTCTATTTTAGGTGTACTGATTCTCTTTCTGAACTGCTAAAGTCTTAATGAATTGTTGCAAGCTCATTTGTACCTTTCCCCCCCGCTTTTTGGAAACAGATGAACATTGCTGTCTGAAAGTGGTATCCAGGACAGGGCGTGGATATCATTTGCAAGGAGCAAATCCCAGGATGGTTGGCCCACTTTTCAATGCAGCAACTTGCAGAAATGCTACTGCCTGTAAAAAGCTGCAAACATGCTCTCTATCTGCTGTTAGCCTGGGGATTTTTTTTTTTTTTAAAGTCTACTGCCTGGCTTTTTGCCAGCTCAGCTTTTATAGTCTTAAACTGGGGCTGGGGAATTCTGGGAGTTGAAGTCCACACTTCTTAAAAGGTGTCTAGCTATGTGTTTCTCAACCCCTGGCTTGAAGATCTGTGGACTTCAACTCCCAGAATTCCCCAGCCAGCCATGTCTTTGGTTATCAAGTGCCTGAATTATAGGCATTACGAGTGTTGGGGTTAGTGAACCATTGTAACTGAGGATGGGCTGTAAGCCACTTTTTCCCAGATCAAGTTGTGACTTCAAACCACTGTTAAATGAATGGCCGTAAGCCAAGGGCTACCTGTAGGATGCTTGCTTGTTTTTAAGGTGCTATAAGGCTCTTCTCTCTTAAGGGTTAGCATTTGGATGAAACGGGTCTACCTGAAATATCTCAATTTTTTTTTCTTTGACCAGATTTGGAATGATTACAAACTCAGGTGGGATCCAAAGAAGTACGATGGCGTGCAGTACGTTCGAGTGCCTTCCAGTAAGATCTGGAAGCCTGATATCATGTTATATAACAAGTAAGATTATGTAATTAGACCTCTTCTTAAATTTTCTTCCTGTAACGTACCTAGCCCTAATTAGTTACTATCCCAGAGAGAGGATTGCTAAATTTTCCAAGCAAAATACGCCACACTACTTGGTCAAATCTCACTATCAGTCTTCGTGAATCTTTTCCAAGACATACCTGATATTTCATGAGTGTTCTCTTTCTCTCTCTCTCTGTGTGTGTGTGTGTGTGTGTGTGAGAGAGAGAGAGAGAGAGAGAGAGAGAGAGAGAGAGAGAAGAAAGAAAAGGGAGGGAGGGATGGGGGGAAGCATGGCTTAATTACATGAGTAGCATGTTCCCAATCACCAGATACCAAGCGATAGGAATGACTGCTGCAGTCAACCAACTTTTGAGAGCCCTCTTCTGTGCTGCCCAGCATCGACCCAAAGGTGCTGTCAGAACCGAAGAAGCTTCTTGGTTGAGAAGCGAAATGTCTTCGAGGAAAAACAAAGCCCAGTTGCACCTTTAGGATAACCATGACCTGGGGGACTGAGACTCTCCGGAGACATGCCCAACCTTGAGTTGAGGCTTGCACGGCATGGGAGCAGAGCCCGAGAGCTATTGTTGAGGCTCCTCCTTTCCCCGTCTACGTTTTGGATAAGATAGGTTGCTTGGTCACTTCGATAACCAACTGCCAGAACCTATTCTATACTCAACCCGTCCTCTCAAATGTGTTTGACAGTGCGATCGGAGACTTCCAGGTGGACGACAAAACGAAAGCCTTGCTCAATTACACTGGAAACATCACGTGGATGCCTCCGGCCATATTTAAGAGCTCGTGTAAAATAGACGTGACCTACTTTCCCTTCGACTATCAGAACTGCACCATGAAGTTTGGCTCTTGGACCTACGACAAAGCTCAGATCGACTTAGTGCTCGTGGGATCCACCATGAACCTCAAGGATTACTGGGAAAGTGGGGAGTGGGCCATTATCAAAGCCCCTGGCTATAAGCATGTCATCAAGTACAACTGCTGCGACGCCTACTATCCGGATATCACCTACTCTTTGTACATGAGACGCTTGCCTTTGTTTTATACCATCAACATGATCATCCCGTGCCTTCTGATTTCCTTCTTGACCGTCTTGGTGTTCTACCTTCCTTCGGACTGTGGCGAGAAAATAACTCTGTGCATATCGGTCCTCTTATCCTTGACAGTTTTCCTCCTGGTCATAACGGAGACCATTCCGTCCACGTCACTGGTGATCCCGCTGATTGGAGAGTACCTCCTCTTCACCATGTTGTTTGTCACACTCTCCATCGTCATCACCGTCTTTGTACTTAACGTCCACTACAGAACTCCCAGGACGCACACCATGCCGGAGTGGGTGAAGGTGGTTTTCCTCAAATTTCTCCCCCGTGTCATGTTCATGTCGCGGCCGCCCAGCAACGAAGACGAGGGCAGGCCCGAGAAAGTGAAGCCTTCTTCCCATGCAGAGCTGGCGCCTTTGAACTTCATCCAGATACCCGACAGCAGGTATTGTCAAGACTGCTTCTCATGCCAAGGGTCTACACACGCGTGTTGCCTGCATGAGCGCAGAACACACTCGAAGGCCACCGGCAACCTGACGCAGAGCTCCAGTTATGAGTCCATGGATGCGTTGTTTCCATCTTCGTTTATATCGCCAGAAATGAGAGATGTGATGGACAGCATCCAATACATCGCCGAAAACATGAAACAGCAGAATAAAGCCAAGGAGGTATGGATATATTTTAATTTCCACCTTTCACAACATACTTGATGTGGCCTCATTGCTGGCAAGGCGATACTGTAAACCAGGGGTGTCCAACCGTGGCCACTGTAAGACTCGTGGCCTTCAACTCCCAGAATTCCTCAGCCAAGCTAGCTGAGGAATTCTGGGAGTTGAAGTCCACGAGTCTTAAAGTGGCCATGGTTGGACAACTTTGGTGTCAATTAATAGCTTTGCAACATCCACATTTTGGTCATTTCCTGACCACACCGAAGTAGCATCTGCTCAGATTGACCAAGGTCTTGTGTAGTCTCATGTCTACTTTCTACCAGGTGCCTGTGGAAGCATCCAAGAACGGAACAGCTTCTTAGATCTTCTGCAGGCAATAAAGAGGTGCCATTTGTGACTTGCAAGATGGAAAGGTCACAGTGCTTAAGATGCAGAAACCAATATAAAAAAATTCACATTTTTTTAAAAACAGGACAGATTTTTTTTTCAAGGGGAAATTTGGAAGTCACCTATTCACCAAACCTCGTGAACAAGAGATCAAGTTAGTTTACGGTCATCTGAATACTTATTCAGAGCCAAAGAGGGATATTTTTGCAAATTATCTTCCAAGGTAACAGGTTCATCAATAATTTTAACGCCTTCTCATTTCCATGGAATAGTTCATCTTCCCATATTTAATAAGTGCATCCTCAGGCTTAAGAAAACAACCAAAATTAGACAAGGAAGAAAGGCAAAGACTTATTTTTCACATAAGTCGTCCCCCCAACTCCCCGTTAGTTTAAATTAATATAAATTTGAGACAGAAGACCTGAGGGTCCGTCTTTTGAAGGTGTTCAACATAGGCCTAGTTTTGAAACTATTTATTGTACTCTCTGCAAAGACAACTGTACCAATGACTTTGAAATATGCATAGCGGGCCCACAAAATAGATTATTTGAAAATTGATGTAATTTTCTGCTTATTTATTTCAGACTCAAGATGACTGGAAATACGTTGCCATGGTAATTGATCGTATTTTCCTGTGGGTATTTATTCTCGTGTGCATTTTGGGGACAGCAGGATTGTTCCTGCAACCGCTGCTGATCAGAGATGAAGTTTAAGCAAGGTGACACAGCAAAAAAAGGACTTTTTTTCCCCTTCTTCTTGGGTGTCTAAACATATTACATTGATGTTGAACTACTTATTTCTGCTACTTTGAGTACCAAAATAAAGATACCGAAAAACATATAGAAAATAACTGATATTGTATTATTCTGAGGTGTTGTATAAGACCAAAGAATTTTTATGTCTAGGTTTTTCCTTTTTTTGAGAGAGAGCGAGCGAGAGAGAATTTTTATGGTTGTCAGATTAAGCCTTAAAATAGTACTAATTTATTCTGCAGAAGTTCGGATAAGGAGAGTCAAGGCCATCTCATTAATACAGAAATGCAGATCCCTGCAATTTTAATAAGCCATATATTAAAATCAAATAACAATTATGTTACAAGGACTGGGGGAATGACAGCAGCAGTGCCAATATATAATAAGGGAGGAAACCGAGCAGGTCGAGCTAACTACAGACCTATCAGTTTGAGTGCCGAAGCTGGAAATATTTAGCATGACTGGAATCTTGAGGTATAACTGGACTAGTACAAGCTGAACTCCAAGGATGCTCACCACAGATATACAAAAGCATCTGCACCAATTAAAATTTCCTCTTGATGTGGCCTTTCGAGACTTGCAAACCAAACCACCACAGCTATGCCAAGAGGAACAACAAAAGGAACTTATGCAGATTCTAAGAAGTTGTATTCGAGGCCATTTCTTAAAAATTAGGGGTTAACCAACCATAGATTCCCTGCTCACCCAGAAATTTATGATTTTTTTTTTTTTTTTTTTTGGAGATAAAGCAGAGGAAAGGCTCTCTTTGTGTGGGAGAGAAACAGAAGAAACCAGAGGAAATGTGTATACATCCATAGGGTCCTTGGTACTTTCTGAGCTTTGTTGTTTTCTTGCAGGCGTTTCATTACCAAACTAGGTAACATCATCCATGCTAAAAGAGAGTGCAGTTTGCTCTCATTTTAGTTGGGTAGTTAACCCAGAAAAAAAGTAAACAACAGCCTAACCAAGGAACCACCAAGACTGTTCCCACCAACACTGACAGGGCAAGCCACTAGTATATAAAATATATTGGATTATTATATTTTAGCCCTGACCCCACATTTCAACCCTGAACTACAAATATTCTCTTTTATCGATACGTACATCCATTTTACATTACCGAGTCAAACTGAGAGACTTGGCCAAGGGCTTCAAAGAAATATTTGAGAAGTAAATTAGAAGGAAAAGGGAATATTTATAAGGATTTGGAGAATTGTTTATTAAACATGGGATATTGCAGCAGACAAATGAAAGTAAGATGATAGTAAGCTTTGGTTTTCAGCTTCTGGTCTTGAGGAAGCTAAATCAAATGAAAAGACCAGGAATGATTTTTCCACTAAAGGCAACAAATCTCAGCTACTTATATTAAAAAGACTGAGAGGAAGACACTAAACCCCCAAGCAATGCAGAAAAATATTAAGGAATCTTTAATTAACCCACTTTCCAAATGATGGTTTCCTAACGAAACACATTATGTAATTTAAAAATTCCCCTTGAATTTACAAACTTAATAACAAACAGCAAGTATCAAATGCAAAGTTTAATTTATTGTCTGTAATTATCACCCTTAAAGTACATTCAGTATGCTTCTAAAATCTAAAAATAATTTTTTAAAAAATATTTTAAAAATCCCCAGCTATACACAAAATACAACTAGAATGATGAAGTATCCCAACTAATATCACCGCAAACATTCATTTCTTAACTATTGACACAAAAGGTTTCCAGCTGTCTACCATCTCTCTAAAAGTGTGTTTAGATGATATTAAAATAATGTCTACTGTCTCTATCTACCTTTGCTGTAGCATATTTTTCATTCCATGATTTGACTGTTGATTTTAATTTGAGGGCTACTTATATAGCACAGATTTTCTTCACTGAACACGGAGGGTATTTGTGCCTAATAAAAGATGTATAAAGGAGCACGCCCCAGGTACTTCATGTGCCACTTCTATAATCAACACATCTTTTTCAGCAAGTGGATTAGCCTGTGAAGTCAAACAAAAACCTCTAAGAAAGGAATAATGAAGTGCTTCTGTAAGACTATTAAGAAAACTGCATGAGAGTTGAGCCGGATTGGAGGGTGTCTTTACTTTCTTACAATCACAGAAATTCCTAGCAGACTTCAGATACTTTGGTTAAAATCAGAATCAGAATCGAGCTGGGAGGGACCTTGGAGGTCTTCTAGTCCAGCCCCCTGCTCAAGCAGGAGGTCCTATTTCAGACAAGAGACTCTCCAGTCTCTTTTTAAAAACCTCCAGTGATGAAGCACCCACAACTTCTGGAGGCAAACTGTTCCATTGTTCTAATTGTCCTCGCTGTTATTGTGTTATCATAGCACAATAAAAATTGGATTTAGAAGGGAAATTGCATTAGGAAGTCCAAAGTGCTCCGTGGTGTACTTGCATATTTTACAACTTTCTGTGCTGCCTTACACTTTTCACCCTTCCCACTCCATCCGGTTCCTTGGCAAACTGAGCTTAATTCTGAGTGACAGTTTGGGAATCAAATGCTAAGAGTAAGAGACGGAGAGCCTCATCTGCTACAAGGATTACTCACACGTCACATGAACGGACAAAAATAAGTCTAAAACGTTCTGTATTCCTCGGTAGTGCCAACACGGAAGACCGTTGTATTTTGAGGAGTTTAGTGGCATATTTTGATTTCTCCTTCACATTAATTTATTTAGCATACGGCATAAAATACATGGATAGAGCAGCAGTAAAGATGTATGGAAAGAACACATAATCATATACACATACAATGGAGATTTGTGGTCAATTTTGTAAGGTGTAAGAGATTCAAGAAGAGATTCTTTCACATTAAGAAAAATCTAAGGCAAATTTAAGACTCATGGACTTCAATTCCCAGAATTTCCCAGTCAGCTGGATGGGGAATTCCGGAAACTGTAGTTCAGTCTTAAAGTTGCCAAGGTTGGACACCCCTGGTCTAGAAGTTCAGAGCTCATTCTGAGCTAAATGTGCTTTTAAAAACCTTTTGTTTATTGCATAAAGGCGAAGAGGGGCTGTGGAATCTTCACATAGTGCAAAGCTTCCCCCCCTTCCCCCAATCTGTGAAAATCTCAGAGATTTGAGTGATGTGCCACCTAGCCAAGATCAGGTCTTGCAGCCTTGTGACTATAGAAACAGAGCCATGAAGTCATGGTGCCAACTTTTAATAAAAACCCTAATACTGGCTTTTAAGTTGGGAGCTTCTGTGGAGAACCTGGCCCTGAGTCCTGTGGAGCATCTGTGCTATCATTATTAAGGAGGTCCTGGCAGCTTGCATGAGATTTCGGTATCATCTTGCTTGGTAGGTGTGCTCTTTGTGTTATGTTTTTAAATTTGTTTGCTTAATAAAACTTTAAAAATCTCTTTATTTGTTGGTGTGCTCATTGTCTCTGGACCCAGAAGAACCAATTGCCTGGGCATCTGACCCCTGCCCTCATCCCTGACAAAACTTCTCCTCATCCACTGCTGCAGCAGTTTCAATGATGGGCATCCTAGACACCTTAAATGTTGAAGTGTCGTGTTAATACTTTTCGCTATAATAATCTGCAAATAATATTAGAATGCTGATGGCATCCAGATAGGCTATAATTAAGAGGAGAGTGGGGGGTGGGGAGAAATCCATCTTACAATTTTCCTGGTTAAATATCACCATGAATTTTCCCCTCCCGATTGCATTCTCAGATATTTCATGATTACTTTAGAAAGTACTTAAACATATCTAGGAATTAGCATACCTAGAAACACCTAGAGTTCTGCCCCTGCTCACACACTTATTTATTAACAATCCCAGCATGGACTGGTACTATTTTTCTTGCCCATTTATGAATTACAGGAAGAAACAGGGCCAGGGATCCAGTAACCGCAACCAGAAAGAACAGCCATAGGAACACACGGTCAAGCACCTGAGCTATAAATTTCCAGTCATCCACAACCTAAAAAAAAAAAAAGAAGAAGAAAAAAAGTCAGTAACTTTCTGAGTTTAGTCCCAAGAAAATAACAAAGCAGGCAGAGGCAACAATGTATCTATACAAAAGCCACAGCATAATAAATAGAAAGGATACAAACCAGAAGTAAATAAACCATTGTTGTAATAGGTATTCCCTATTGTAGATTTTACTTATTAAACTGAATAGTATAAATGACTGAAACTGAATTTTATCACGGAATTAAAAATCCCCAGTCTATTTAAAAATATTTGTGCTTGTTAAGGCTTGAATCATACTTTTTATATAAACTGGGGAAAAATGGGTCACAGACAAACATGAGTCACTGTAGGAGATAGAAATCATTTCTCTATTTTTTTTAAAGCATGCTATTGATCCAAAATCTCCACTATCTTGATCCAAAACAATAGATCAAGTTATTCATATGATACCCATCACTCAAACGATAAGATTATGACAAAAACTATTCAACCGTTTAGATATTGCTAGGTTGCTACTGAAGGAATGGCTTCCATCAACAGGACTAAGACTTCCCTTTCTCTCAAAGACATCCCAAAACAGTACAGCCTCTGAAACCAACCAGATAATTAAGGTTCTTTCTTCCTGTAGCTCGGGGTTGAACTGTGGAGTCCTTGATGCTCTCGGAGTTTGGTTGTTTTCTTGAAGACGTTTCATGGCCCAGCTAGGTTACATCATCAGTATGAGATGATCACTGTCAACATCATCAGAGCATTGATGATGCTATCTAGCTGGGTAATGAAATGTCTGCAAGCGAACAGCCAAGCTCATAAAGCACCAAGGGCTCCAGATTAAGGTTCTACTGCATAACTTTGTGTATTATGTTCACTGAGTGTAAAACAACTGGAACACACACACACACACCTCATGTACTTCATTCTCTTTGACAATGTGTCTTATAATGTACCGGACAGAATTTAAGGCTGCTTCCAAGGTATTCCTAGATTCCTCGGATCCCTGGGTGCCCGTGGTCTCTTCTTCCTTTGGTACGGAGTACCTATCGACGTGACTTCTCATACAAAGCAGTTTGGGAAGCTTGTGGAGAAATATTTTGCGGACCCATGGTGCCATCGCGTTGTGCGTTGACGAGGATCGGTGATGAACGTTAATAGCGAAGACAGTGATGACTATAGATAAAGTCACAAAAATCATGGTGAAGACCAAGTACTCGCCAATCAGAGGTATGACTTTAGAAGAAGAGGGAATAATTTCTTCTATGACTAGAAGGAAGACGGTGAGCGAGACCAGAACGGAAGTGCAGAGACAGATTTTCTCACCTTCGTAGGCGGGAAGATAGAAGACGAGGATGGTTAAGAAAGACAGCCCTATGCATGGAATAATGAGGAAGAGCGTGTAAAAGAGAGGCAAGCGCCTAATTATAAAGGAATAGGTAATAAAGGGGTACCAGCAGCTTCCATCAGTTCTGTTCCTTTTGATACCCGTTGCCGTTACTATTTCCCATTCTCCATTATCAAAGAAATCCCTTTTGTCTACTTCTTCATCCACAAGGATTATATCCACCTGAGAACCATCGTATGTCCACGAGCCAAACTTCATGGAGCAGTTCTGGAGGTCAAATGGAAAATAAGTGACGTCAATGGTGCAAGAGCTTTTATAGTTTGCAGGTGGAGTCCAAACAATAGTGCCATCGTGCTTCACTATGGCCTTTGTAGACGTCCCTTCAAAATGACCGTCTGCACTGAAAGAATATCAGCAAAGGGTTACAAAAGGTGCAAGATATGGTTTTTCCACAAAAAAGCTAAGTGTTATGTATTTCTTCCAGCATAAAATTATTTGAAATTGTATATAATCCTTTACAGACATAAAAATTGAGCTAGATGTCCCTGTAGGGCACGCTCCAGCCACGATTCAAATTATTAATTTAATTTTGAACAAACGGATAGGAGCTAATGAGTGAGTAAAATCAGGATTTTGAATGATCCTCTTGGAAAGGAATGGCTGGAATCTTTTCTGCAGACATGCCCACCCTTCTATAAAAACATTCTTCTCCAACAGGTTAAAAAAAAATAAAACCGAGTATCTTAATGAGGCACTGCACTTCTTAAAATGATGAGATCCTCAAATGAGGACCCAATTATCTTCTACCGCTGCTCTGAATGCAATCTCTGGGGAATGTGCACAGCATTTTTTCTGCTGCTTCTTGTTCATTTTTCCCAGAAAGACAAGTAGTCTACAATTGAAGATATATTAAAGAGAATGCTCCTGGTTCTTAATTCCTTCTGGGTAAGAACTCTCTACAATCATGGGATCTTCTTCCCTGGGAAATTGAAGGGGGCATGAAACTCTTTTATTTCATTACCCATTCAGGCCTTTTCAGCCTGGTTTTTTTCGCATTCTCCTGGGCCCTAGTCTATTTAATATATTTTAAAAACTGACACGCTTACTTATCATATAGAACAATGTCTGGAATCCATAGAGAATCTGAAGGGACACGGATAGATGTTATTCCGGCATAGTCCTCGGGATCCCACATCAGCTTTACATCAACCCATTCCTGCAAAGGAATACAGCCTTTTCTTCAATTTTATCTTGAACTTGAAACAGCTCAGAAAGCAACAATTGAAACGTTTACTATGTTACTATTAAAGTTGCTACCTTGCTTCAAAACGTATTTGTTTATAGTTTTTGTTTTGTTACTTTTGATAAACTTACTGGACTCATGTTCACTTGCACAGGAATGTTTTCTGATTCTAATATTTCTGGAAAACCCATCTCACTGCTTCAAATCCCCTGCCGATGTACTGTAAATCATTCAGGGTCAATAGAGAATCCTGATCTATCTTTTCAGATAGATTTTCAACCAGGACTTACCTGCTTTAGCCAAACATTTGTGGTCATCAACTGATTTTTCTCATCCTATTGGAAGAAAAGTGTATTAGATATAATGAAAGGTTTTAGCTCCCGGTGAGAGCCAGATAGTGCTTCAACATCTGAACTGGACCTTGGCAAGACTTCTGGTTAAGGTAAAGGTTCCCCTGGCACATATGTGCTAGTCGTTCCTGACTCTAGGGGGTGGAGCTCATCTCCGTTTCAAAGCCGAAGAGCCAGCGCTGTCTGAAGACATCTCTGTGGTCAAGTGGCCAGCACGACTTAACGCCAAAGGCACACGGAACGCTGTTCCCTTCCCACCAAAGGTGGTCCCTATTTTTCTACTTGCATTTTTTACGTGCTTTCAAACTGCTAGGTTGGCAGAAGCTGGGACAAGTCACGGGAGCTCACCCCGTTATGTGGCGCTAGGGATTCGAGCCGCTGAACTGCCGACCTTTTGATGGACAAGCTCAGAGTCTTAGCCACCGCATCCCACAAGACTTCTGGTAGCTTCCCCCTTCTAAATAGGTGCTTTCCAATGTGCCCCTTGAAGGCGTAATGAAACAGCAGAAGCAGCTGACACTTTAATTTCATTCCCTTAATGATTGTCAGGCATGAACGACCAGACCCACACTTGTAGGGTTCAAACAGGCTGCTTTATAGTTCTATGCCTATTCTGCAGAAATCTTCCCGGATTGGCAGCTTTTGCCCGTGAAAGACTAGATAAGGCTCAAAGGCATTGGAGGCAGGAAGTGTCATACCTTGCCCTATTGTATTTACTTAGGGTCCTGCCTAATTTCCCATTGAGATCTCCTCCCCACTTGGAGGATGGCTGTCCAACACTAGTGAAACAATCCAATGGCTGTAAGGCACCAAATACTCAGAGCACCAAAAACGTTATCATTGCTATTGCTAGTAGGAATAGCGGAGAGCTTTTTGTGTTAGTTAAAGGGAAAGACACAGAATCTTTTTCGTGTCTTACATACTCAGAGGTACAAGGTTTAAAAAAAAAAAACAAACCCTTTCACCTGAAGTTGTAAACCATGTTGGTATCTATCTATCTATCTATCTATCTATCTATCTATCTATCTATCATACTTTCACTTAATGTGTCCTCTGATTAAACAAGAGTTATTTAGGGTGGGGGCGGGAGAGAAATTCCTGTCTCCACCTGCCCTGGAATCATACTACTACTATTGCAAGTAATTTCTTCTAAATCTTGAGTGCAAAGTATACTTATAATTATTAAGGCCAAATTATATTTCAGAAACATGGCAGAAATTCTGCAAAACAGACAACATACTGTATGTCTTCAGAGTGTTTGAATTTTAAAATGTATCAGTTTCCTAACATACCACATCCACCAACTGGGAAATTGCAAGACCAAATTTCACTTTGATGGTATCATTCAAATGCTCGACTGGACGAACCCATCGTTCATAGTCTTCAAATAAATATTTAAATAAACGGTCTTCACTTTTAGCAATAAAAGAAGGTTCAGATGTACCTGCAAAAAGTTTAAAAAAAAAAAATAAATCCAGAAAAAGTATTTAATATTTAACTCATTTAATTCCCCCTGTCACAATAGAGGAAGTTTGCCATAAAGTTAAGCAACACTGAAAGCCACAGTTCCCTTCTGTTTAAACAGAGGGAATAAAAGACCAGGTCAAGTAACTCTCTTATTCTGCAGTTTTAGCTTTTGAAATTATCAACAAAGTTAAATTAGAGGGTAATCCACTAAAAATGTAAAACATAAATTGAGAGAGGTATCTCAAAGTTATGTTTTATAGGGGAGGAAAGTATTATGTTTAAGTAACCAATCTCAGAAGCTAGTGGTAAATTGAAGATGAAGAATTAAGGATGAAAAAAGTAGAAATTATGGAAGCATGCGTTTTCTACTTATTTATAGTTTGATTAGTCTATAGATTTACTGGCATGAATACAAATTGACAATTTATGTAAATAGATATGTAAATCAAGCAGAGCCTTTGTAAGTATTGTAGGCTATTAGATTTCATTTGTGATGGTATTGAACTTATGCAACAGTAATTTTCAGTATCAGCAACACTGTATTGCTCTTCTTCTACTTAAAAAACTCAATATTTGCTTTCACAGCAATTGCCAATATATTTCACATATTGTATGAAAGTTCATTTCTGGAGAACTAAAAGTGACATATTCATTGCTCTCTCTATCCTATTGAAAATATTACAAGGAGTGGAGAGGGGATATTTATGTGTACAAGTGCTCCAAAGTTAATAAACTATATTGCTTAACATTTTGTAAGAGGAATCCAAAACATTGCTACTTTTATTATATAGTACTATATTTTGGACCTTAAATATGAATGAAACATAGCCTCTGAGCTCATATTTTATAATGGAACAATTCAAAGACACTGAAACAATTCATTAAAATTGTTTAATGAAAAACAAAGAAACCATTGCGAATTTCCTAGCATGCTGAATCACCCATATTTTACTTAAATCCTTATTCTGGTACTTTAATGTAAAATGCTATTCTCAGACTCATTAGATGATGTGCATTGATAATTAACTTCTAGGGCTATGCAAATCATTTGAAACTGCCCAGTCAACTTCTTTTGCTGGAAAAAAAAAAAAAGAAGAAGAAATAAAATGGCTACACACATGCAGAAGAGAGCTAGCAGCAATTCTGAAGCAGCAACTCAGTGAAAAGACACGGTTCACGCATTGCAGAGCACTTCTTTTGGGAGATTTGCACAGCCCTATTTTCTGTCTACTGAAGCAGAGAAAATCCTGCCATACCTATTCTTTTGCTAAACAGGGACTTGGGCCCTGGTTCCTAAGACTACGCTTTCAGCTGATGAGATGCAAAGGTTCATGTGTAGTAATATAAGACTACTTTTTAATCTCAATGATGAAACAGTGATTCAAATTGTTTAAAAGAATAAAACTTGTTCTGATTACAGAAGACATTTGTCCTGTTCACAAAATGTGTTCCTTGATTATTGCATTCAGAAACAATTCTATTACAATTCACCATTGGCTTAGGTTGTATTTTTAAAAATTGATTATGTGTCATTAAGTCGGAATTGGGTCTTAGCGAGGACAAGAGATGAATTTTCTCCAGGAGAATCTGTCCCCAACCTGGTCCTTCAGATTGTGAAGGCAGTAATTGAGTCATTAGATTAACTTTATGCCAATAAACTTGGATGTTCTCTAGCTGTACCACATATTGATTTTTTTCATTTCACTTCACAATAGCTAAATCTAAAAGAAATGGTTCAAGTCAGCTTTTTTCTATACCATCTATTATAGAAGAGGACTGAAAAAAAATCCCTGTAGCCATTAGGACTCAAAACACCTATATACAACAGGCAGTTCAAACACATTTAAACACATCTGGAAACATTATCTGAAGAAAATTGTTTCTTGCCTTCAACTGTGATCCTACCACCTTTGTACATTGCTTATTTAATTCGCCACATAATTACATACAAGGTATCTTATGCTAAGTTGTGTTTCCAGAGGGTTTTTTTTCCCTCAGAAGTAACCAAATCAATATTTTTGCACATCAAAATATCAAGGAAGCAACCGTTTTAGTGAGAAAAACAATAGCCATAGAATACTAGAAGTGGGCAATGAAACTGCAGGTATCCAGAACGGGAACCCAATAACCAATTGTGTATGAATAATATATTCAGGAAAAAAGCACTGCCTTAACATTTTCAGTTTCTTCTGAAAAACAAAAATAACTAACTGCAAATCAGTTTAACCTGGATCTATTAAAAACCCTTTTCATTACATAAAGGGGAAAGCTCTTAAAGACATTCTGCTAACTTGTGCTTTTACACACCCAGAGTTACAAAAATAATGTTTAAACCTTCAGTCATCCTTCAGGTCAGATTGAAAATATCGGTCTCCCAAGACAAAAATATGTCCCTGCAGTCTTAACCATTCAAATCTCCACCACAAAAACTCTTTATCCAGTGGTTAAAAAACGGAAAACGTCTTTGCTGCTTGTCTATTTCGGCCAGAGCAAAATAAGATAGAAAAGATGAAGTTGAGACGAACTCTTTCGAGGGCTCCTGAACAACTGGAAAGAGCAGCAGCTGGCAGATGTCTATTTAAAGACAGGATGGGAGAATCAGAACCTCTTTTGGTCAAAAAAAAAAATATTTGGTTCATCCTTGGCAAACCAGATTATTGCACAAATGAATACACCCACTTTGCTACATCCTGCCTTCCTGACGTGGTTTTTTTTTTCTTCCTTCTCACCAATGCAGCACAATGGAGTGTAGCCAGCCCCCTCCCTGCCCTTCAGTTAACCACCGCACTTATTAATGTTTGAACCTGCACTTCTAGATGAAGTCTTCCAGATGCAGACACAAAAAGTCTTACAAAAACAGATTACAGTGTCTCTTAGGGAAGGCTGGACAGATCAGGTTGCAATTTTTGTCATCAGGATAAGGACAGTAATCCTGCAATACGACAGCAGAATAAGGCTGTAATAATACACCCCCCACCCCCACCCTAACCCACTTACAGAGGCATCAACCCCATTGAAATACAATGGAAGTTGCTTTCCGAATAGAGAAGCCCTGGAACGGAAATAGGAAAAAGCAGCCCGTATATAGTATTACACATACATATTTTTATTTTATTGATTTATGATGAAATTTATTTGCCGCCCCTCTCATATCCAAAAACTATGCATATAAGTGTGTATGTAAGGATGGATGGACTGATAGGCAGAGAAATAGATAGATAGATAGATAGATAGATAGATAGATAGATAGATAGATAGATAGATAGATAGATAGATGGATGATGGATGGACAGAGATAGATAGATAGATAGATAGATAGATAGATAGATAGATAGATAGATAGATAGATAGATAGATAGATAGATGGATGGATGATAGATGGATGGACAGAGATAGATAGATAGATGGATGGATGGACAGCTATAGATAGATAGAGATGAGACAGATGACAGATAGATAGATAGATAGATAATGGAGACAAATATTATAATAAACAATAGTTGTATAGATATGATAGAGATTTAGATGATACATAGATTATTAACTACTTTATAACTCTTATTGTTATTTTGGGAGGCACAACATACACAACTGAATTCATTACTAATATTCTATCTCTAACATCGTTATGCATATACTAACTATATAAAGCATGTATATAAAGCATATACAAACATATAGTATACATGTCTCCAAATGGTTCATCAAGAATACAAACCTGTCACCTCTATGCACATACAAACCTATGGATTTGCACACTCATGCCCTCTCCCCTCCAGCCCCTCCCTGCAGAGATGCATTTGCATGCTCATGCACACCTGCCTCGACACCTCCCCCCCCCCATCCACCTCAGGGCTACTTTATGAGGAGGGGAAGCAGTTTATAAATACTTTTAATAAATAAATCCAACATCACGCCCCCACCCCAACATACAAACCCCCCCCACCCCCCCATAGCCAGCAGACAGGCTCCCTTTTAAGAGTTTCATGCAGCAAAACTCCTGTGCAATAGTTGGACCCTATTCGACCCCCCCCCCCATCCCACCTCACCTCCGTGACAGTTAATTCCCATTTATTAAGGGGGGAGGAGGGGAGGGGTCCCAGGTTGGCTGGGTGGACCTTCTCCCCCCCCACACCATAACTGCCTTCCTCGCGCGCTCTTCCTTGGCTCAGCGGGCCAGGCGCGTGACGCGCGTCTCGGCTCCCGGGGCATTCACACGAGCGCGGGGCTTGACGCGTGTCTTGACGCGTTACCCAGAAAACGGGCGCAGGAGGTTCCGCGGCCGGAGAAGAGGAGCAGCAGGAGCAGCAGGGGAGCCACGGCCATGTCCCCGCGCGGCGAAAGCGGCCGCCGGACGCGGACGAAAGAGCGGAGCCGCTTCTCCTCAGACGCGCCTCAGCCGGGAAAGCCCACCGGCTGCCGCTTAGCCGCCGAAGCCCCGCCCCCCGGGGCGTGGCTAAGAAAGGGCGGGAAAGCCCTGAGGCCGCTCCCCACAGCTGGGATTGGCCTACGACTCCCGGCAGCCCCGCAGCTCCGTTCTCAGCTGAGGGACTGATGGGAGTTGTAGGCTTCGTCGGAGTGGAGAAGGTGCGGCCCCGAAGTAAGGCGGGCCGAGTTTCAGCAAACTCCAAACTTTGCTCCAGGCTGTCAAACGCATTGGCCTACCTCACAGGGTTGTTGTGAGGAGCGCCAAAGAAAGCTAGGACGCACCTGTAGGAAGAGTCCAGTTATCCACAAAAATAATAAAGGCGGGATAAAAACAAATGAAATAAATAAATAAAACTGTATCTTAAATAAAACGGTCTCCCCGATTATTCTGGGGGTTGTTGTTTTTAGCTGGGCTGAAAGTTTAATTTTTGTATTTATTTAGAGAGGCCAGACACAGTGCAACGCGTTTACTCGTTTAGTAAACAATGGCCCTGAAAAAAGCGATTTACAACTGGTCTGTCCTTGGACTTATGACTGTTATAGCGTCCCTACAATCACATCGTGGTTGCATCATTCCAGAGTGGCGTGATTACCATTTGCAATCTTCCCAGCCAACTTTGGATAAGCAGAGTCAATGGAGAAAAGTAGATTCAAATGACCGTGTGCTTAACAACTGTAGCAATCTGCTTAGTGATCACGGCAAAAAATGTTGTGGAACTGGACAGGACTCACTTAAAAGCCACTTTGCTTAGCAGTGAAGTTGTGGTTCCAATTATGGTCGTAAGTCCAGGGCTCCCTGTACCTTGCTTCGTTTTCCCCATTTTTCAGGCCTGGTAAAATCCAACGTTTTAACCAGCATAATGTTGAGCTATGCGCTGCCAAAAGTGTTTGAAAAATTAATAAACAGCGAAGCACTGATTTCCCAGGACACCATCTTGTTATCAATCCAGACACGGCTGCAATTGTGCAGCAGCTGCCTTGAAAAGCTGTTGGCAAAGTGCTAAATTGTATTATTTCACGAAGGTTTTTTTCCCTCTTCTTTCTTCGCGTGTATGTAAGCTCTCCTGAACCCTGTAATTAAAAATATTCCAGCAATGATTGAAAACTCTTAAGACGCTGTGCACATTTCTAAGTGTATGTTCTCATTTTTGCTCAGCACCCCAAATTTAATATGATGAGATAAAAGAAAACGTGAAAACGTTTCTATCAGCAAGATCTGGTATGATGTGGCATCCTGTGTTTTCAGCAAGACAATCCCAAAGAAAATGCAGAGGGAGGGCGAGGAAGAAGTAACTATATTTGGATATACTTAGTACTGTGACAACACTGTTCACTTTATTATGTAATATAAAAGAAAGATACAATGGCAAAGAGATTTCTGTTCACTGAGGAAAGAGGTGATGTGTTCCAGTGATATAAAGGAACGGATTCAATAAACAGCCCTTCAAAAATTTGGCCCGTTTATGGAAACAGCCCCTTCTTTGTGGTACTTGATTCATTTATCCTTTTCTTTCTGCTCTTTTTCTTTCTTTTCACGCTCTGCTTTGGCTTCTTCTTCTTCGTGTTTCTTTATCAACACTTCCACTTCTTTTTGCTTCAAAACTCTTATTATCGTCTTTCCATTCTCTCGCGTCAGGGTTGCAATTTCAACTGAAACAGAAGAGATGAAAAAGAAAAAAGGAAGGAAGGAAGGAAGGAAGGAAGGAAGGAAGGAAGGAAGGAAGGAAGGAAGGAAGGAAGGAAGGAACTTTAATGTCTGAATTAGGTTTGACTGCATCAAAACATATAACAACCAAGTAGGCCTCAGAGAACTTATTAAACTTATTTCTTGTGCTAGTTTGCTAACTGACATTTTAAAAAAAATTTTCATAGCACCCAGAATATTGCAGAAAAATATTTTTGGCATTATGAGAGGTGATATAGCGCAACAGATTTATTGCAAACTTTTCTACCATGTCCCATTTGAAGATTTCAAGAACTTTATAGAGCAATATATTTCTTAAAACTATTATTGTTCTTATAAAACAATGCAATTATCTATTAACGCCAACAGCTGATTAAAATACACAATCAACACCTCAAAATCTAAAACCCCTAATTACCAAAGACTCTCTAAAAGAAATCAAAACCCATATCCAAAATCTCACATCATATCCAAGTCTTACCTTTCTCTGCTGAGAGTTTACTAACGTCCATAGTTTTGTTCAGGACTTTGACAGCTAAAGCAAGTGCGGATTGCAAAGTCATTTCTCCCTCTTTGTAATCTTGTTTGAGCATTGACACAGCTGCCTGTTAAAGGACAGAAAAGCACTGCAGTTGATTCTTGCTCATTCATTCATTCATTTATTCATTCAATTTTTAAAACTGCCCGTTTTAGCCAAGGGACTTTGGGCAACTTGCTGCTGTTGTTGTTGTTAGTTGAGAAGTCGTGTCCGACCCATCGCGACCCCACGGACAACATTCTCCAAGACTTCCTGTCCTCTACCATCCTCTGGAGTCCATTTAAGCTCACATTTAAGTGACTGCTTCAGTGACTCCATCCAGCCACCTCGTTCTCTGCCGTCCCCTTCTTCTTTGGCCCTCAATCGTTCTCAGCATTAGGCTCTTCTCCAGAGAGTCCTTCCTTCTCATTAGGTGGCCAAAGTATTTGAGTTTCACCTTCAGGATCTGGGCTTCTCAAGAGCAGTCAGGGTTGATCTCCTCTAGGACTGACCAGTTGGATCGCCTTGACTGGTTTGATCGCCTTCTAAGGAGCAGTCAGGTTTGATCTCCTCTAGGACTGACTGGTTTGATTGCCTGGGCAACTTACAATCCTAAATTTACAATCCTAAAATTACGCCTGGGCAATTTACAATCCAATTTACAATCCTAAAATTACATTAAAATAGCCTGTTAGCCCAAACTATATGTACAATACTTCCATTCATCAAAATCACCATAAATCCCTTAATTATCCACCAGGATTCTCCAAAGGATCAGTTAAAAATAAAACGAACACAACAATATAGAAAGAACAAAGAATTATGTAGACCAATATTACAGCAATATTAAACTCCATTAGAAATTACTGAGGGCTCGGTGAAAGAATATTGCCTTTACTTCATACCCAAAGTTAATGGGCTTCCCTTTGGAAAAACATTCCTAATTGGAAAATGCCTGAAGAAACCTGCCTAAATCCAGCCTGTTAAACAATCTGGATCTACAGGTCCCCATATCCCTGCCCTTAATATTCTTGGGCTGCTGTGTTTTTCACTAGTTGAAGTCTCTGAATATTTTCCAAGGCTCCTTTTGCAGTTCTAAGGGTTTTCTCCTTCCAAAGGACTATTTTTCTACTTTGCTAAGATCAAAGTTTATTTCTGTAGAATGCCTTTTTCAAGAATTCTCCAAGCTTTCAAACGTGCAGGAGAAAACATGAACACCCAAGGCGGTAAAATCCCTTTGTGGGGGATGAGCGTTTTCAAAATTTGCTAGGTAGATACACAGGTAAACAAATAAACTTACGGCACTG